GCAGTCCTCTGACTGTTGTGGCCTCTCCCGTTGCGGAGCACAGGCTCCAGACGCGCAGGCTCTGCGGCCATGGCTCACGGGCCCAGCTGCTTCGCAGCATGTGGGATCTTCCCGGACCAGGGCACGAACCCACGTCCCCTGCATCGACAGGTTGACTCTCAACCACTGCACCACCAGGGAAGCCCTATTATAAATTTTTAAAACATGAATATCTCTGTTCAACTCTGTTGTTAAACCAACACTGCAAATGTGACCACGTTTTCTTTCACTCAGTAAACTGGTTGCTAATTTGTTATGATTATACTAACTTTGGTATATGTCTCAATAGTTTTGTGACTTATAGACTTTTCTGAGGGAAAATGGACAATCATCACACAAATAGTCATGTAAAGAGTCAAGGCTCCTAATGGAGAGTTTTCTTAAATCCCCACTGCAAAAGTTTTGCTTTATATAGATTCCTACGCCCTGTCCCAGAAATGCTGATTTGCTGGGCCTGGGAAATTACTTATATTACTTCTTGTGATTCCCAGATTTGGACTTCACTGGACTTAGAGACTGGTTATAGCTTTTTCGCGTCTACAACCCTTGTATGTGAAATTGTGCCAGGTGGATTTGAAATGGTCTTTCCATTTGAAATGGAAAGAGTGTGACCTAGTCAAGTCCTGTATCTATGTTGCCCAGAAAGGAATCTGCCATATCCTTTTTGGCCCCTCACCAAACTGCCTTCTGGAGCAGAAATGGACTTCAGGGAACATGCTGGTTTTATTCAGCCAAATGACGTCTACATAATAGTATAGGTTTGAAACACAGATGAGACCAGAGAGGGGGGTGGGACAATAAGTGGCTGTTCAAGTTCTCTAAGGAAATAACAGAAGGACACTTTCTAATGGTTAGAGCTCTAGTTTATGTAGAGTTGGCCCTCCGTATCTCTGGGTTCTGCGTCCATGTGTTTAACCAAACACAGATAAAAAATATTAAAAACAAAAAAAAATTCCAAAAAGCAAAACTTGAATTTGCCACACTGGCAACTATTTACATATCATTTACATTGTATTTACAACTATTTACATAGCACTTATATCATATTAGGTATTGTAAGTAGTCTAAAGATGATTTAAAGTATATGGGAGGATGTACATAGGTTGTATGCAATAGTTTGCCATCTTATATAAGGCACTTGAGCATCCTTTGAGTTTGGTATAGGGGTGGGGCTCCTGGAACCAATCCCCTGCAGTTACCGAGGGACAACTCTATTATGAGTGTGAAAATAACAAGCTTCATGGTGTGTTTGAATCTCAAACAACAGAATCATTCTTTCTAAAAACAGCTGCTTAAAAGAAAAGCAAACTGGACAGTTTTCTTCCCACTCTCAATAAAGGAAGGAAGCAAAGGGAAAAAAATTCAGTGATATTTATAACAAGTAAATAACAACAGATATTTATTGGAGGAATTATAACTATCTTCTGCAAAAACAGTTTTATGACTCCAGTTTTATAACATCAGAGGTGACGATAGACAATCTAGTTTCTAAACACAACCTAACAATATGAGCATACTATTTATTTATGTTGAATGGGAAAAAATTAAAAAGCAAGTCTGTCAGGATTCAGAGATGAAATGAAATATAGTCTTATGGGATTCATATTCAATGGAATTACTCAGCTATTTAAAGCTCTTTTTGGTTTCAATTTTCTTCTCAGTTCCTAATAAGACCTAACATAGTACACACCATCAGTGAAAAATATCTCTAAGTCTAGGGAGACACTTTCCTCTCTATGCATGATTCTTTGTCTTTCATATTTCCCTTTAATCAAGGCTACATAAGATTTTAATTTCACACTTTTTCTCACAACTAAAAAGAGATGTGTATATTTCTAGTCCACACCAAAGCAATTCTCAATAACCAGGGTATCTGTGACTAAAAAATACTTGCCTCTTCATATTCCTCAGGAATATTCGGGGTACTAAAAACTAAAGTGAATAAATGTGAGTGCACAGGAAGCTGGCAGATGACAAGAACACGGATGAGCAATACACAGTAATTTAGTGATGTACATTTCAAGAGAGCTGGGGTTTTGATGGAATAGAGAAGAAATGGCCGTACAAAGAGGTAAACGGATTGGGGGAGAAAAAACTAGCAATTGAGGGACTGCAGAGGAAGCACTGCTGTTAAGGAACAACCAGGCTTCCATTAGAACAGGAAGTTGGAAAAAACACATTCAAGGAGACAGATCCTGAATTCCAGAGTGTATCATGAAAGGGCTTGAAAGGAACTGCAAAATTAAACTCTGGCTGAAGCAGGCAGCTGGTAGTCTTGAAAAACTTCTGGAGGAAGGTGGATGGTCAGTTCAAATTATATTGCAAAATATTTATATGAAAAGGTACAGAGACCATCTGTCAACATTTACTCCTGCAGCTCAAGACAGGCATCAGCCTCTCAGACTAGAAGCTAGTGAAGGCCTCCTCCAGGGTCCGCTATCTTAGCTTGCCTGGGCAAGAAAAGTGAACGTATTCTGATCTCTGGCAACTCTCCTAGAAGGTATTTACTCTTGAAGATCACAAAGTCTTTTAGCATGAAAAAGAAAGCCTATTTGAAGAAAAAATTTCAGATGCTATGACCCAGTGGTAGGAAAATGTTTTGGTCAGTGTACAACACTTGCTCAGCAATATAGGAAGCATCAACAACTCTGCTTAGCAATAATAAATGCTTGAAAAGTACCACCTGACAGGCACACAGGAAGCTGTCTGCCTATTTTCTTAAAGCAGTTTTAGCAGGGCCAGGAGACATTAGTCCTGGGAGTTTCCACATAGGTAATCAGCAGGTGAGGATGGTTGCCATGACAAAAGGCATGAATATTAATTACAAATTCCTTGTAGAATTTTAAAAGGACACATGACAAGGGAAAAATGATGGAAGTGCCCTTACTGCTGCAGTTCTGTTTAGCCACTGCCACATGTGGGTGACCCTACTCTCGTGTCCACCCAGACTCTTGGGGAAGTGCCTACCCAAGGGTAACCAATGTTACAAGAGTCCTACCCCCTGAATGCAGCAGATCTGTTCCAGAGCCTCCAAACCTTGCTCTGAATAACTATGCAAAGAGGGACTATTACATCACAAAATAATATGTAAGCCATTATCCTATCAAAATAGGATGAAACCAAACAATCCCTTTTCACCCAAATATACCCTTCACACCTTCCACTTCTAAGAAGTAACAGCAAAGAAGAAATATATAATCCTTAAAACTAAATGACAAGGTGCAGAGACAGGCCATAAATCTAACTCAGAGAAGACTGACAGCATCTTCCTTATGAAACCATGATCAAATAACTGTCCAGATATAATCAACCACCTTTCACAGAAGTGGCTACTCAGGAGGATCCCAACTGGTCTCCCCCTCGCATAGAACCATCATGATGGACAGAGGCACTTTGGTATAATAAAGAAAGCATGGACTTGAAAGTCAGATCTGAGTTCACATTCTTGCTCCGACCACTTACTAGCCAGTCACCTAACCTCACTGAGACTCAATTTTCTTGTACAAATGTTATGAGGATTGGATAGGATATCAAATCCTCAGTAATCCCTGAAACAATAAATCACTACGTGCATAAGACAAATAGTGTTAGGCTTGGGCATTCACTGTATACAAAGAAAGAGGAATGGCTGCGTTAAGAATGGGGAGATTCTAAGGGTTCCCAGACGGATTCTGAGCTGTCTTAAAAGTTTAAAATATTGGTTGTAAACAGATTAAGGCCTTCTTAGAGGGCTAGACAAAAAGAAAGGCTTGTCACACATTTACATGCATTATCTCATTTAATCCTCACAACAACCCTGTGAGGTAGGTCGTTATTCCCATTTTACAGATAAATCTGTGGCTCGGAGCATTTGAGGGACTTGTCCAAAACTGACAAGCTAGGGCACAGCAGAACTGGAATTAGAACTCATATGTCTCTGACCCAAAAGTCTATACTTTCAGCTACGAAACTCCATGTAACACGTGAAGGCAGAGTCTTCTCCTTGTTTGAATTATGCTGTGTCTCTTTAAAGGCTTTGAAACTGCAATTGTTCCAATTTCATAAGGGGGCATTTTTTTCTGTAGACATATATTGAAAAGGTGGAGCCTAGGTGGTTCTTTATTATCTGCAGATCCTTCTACAACTGTGGGATAGGAGAATGTAGTAAAGCTTTGCTGTTTTCTTTTAACCTAACAGTGATTAAGAAAGTGGATTATATATTCTGTTGACAACTGTAAAGTCAATTTATCTCAAAACTGCAAAAGCCAACAACTGGTATTTATGATGTAATACACAGGAAACAGGCTCTAAAAGGAAGTGACGTGCTCAGGGTCCCCCTGCTACTAAGTGCCAGTATTGGGGTGCAATCCCAGGACTTTAGAGTCTATGTTCTATGTGCCTTTCATAACCCTGCTGAGTGAAAATGAACATGTACTCATTGTATTTAAAAAATACAAAAGTAGTACATTCTCACTGTAGAAAAATATAAAAGTAGTACATTCTCACTGTAGAAAATCTAAAAAGCATAGAAAAGTACAGAGAAGAAAATAGAAATTACCTATAATCCTATTACCCAGAGATAATCACTGTTAACATTTTGGTTTGGTATTATTTCATTCCCATTTCTTTCCTTTGCGTAAATGTTTATTAAAAATTTGGATCGTATTTCATTGTTTTTCTCTTTATCTTCCATTTCATCTAAATCATTTCCCCCATGGCATTAAATATTCTTTAAAAATGTTTACAATGGGTGCCAAACCATCATATAGCTAAACCATCATTCACTTAAACCCTCTACTGTTGGAAATCTAGTTTTCTTCCTCGGTTATATATGATGCTTGCATGAATAGCCCTTCTGTTAATCTTTGTCTACTTCTGATTACTTTCCCTGTATGAATTCTTAGAGAATTAAGGTTGATGATACTGAAAAATTGCTTTTCCAGAAAGTAACAATTAGCCCCACTTCCAATAATATATGTCATTTATGACGTTTCTTTCTCCTCATTATGTTTTCTCTGGTGTTGAATAAGCTGTGAGCTATAACGATAGGCTTTCCCACACTCACTACATTTATAGGGTTTCTCCTTTGTGTGTGTTCTTAAATGTAGAATAACTTGAGAAGTCTGCCTGAAGGTTTTTCCACACTCGTTGCATTTATAGGGTTTCTCTCCAGTGTGCACTCTCTGATGATCAATAAGATTTCGATTAGAAGTAAAAGCTTTCCCACACTCATTACATTTGTAAGGTTTCTCTCTACGATGAAGTCGCTGATGTTCATTAAGGGTCTTCTTTAAGATGAAAGCTTTCCCACATTCATCACATTCATAAGGCTTCTCCCCAGTGTGAATTCTCTGATGGTCCATAATCTTTGTATTAGAAACACATGTTTTCCCACACTCCTTACATTTGTAAACTTTTTTTCCTTTGTGCATTCTCTGATGTTGAGTAAGGTTTGAACTACGGCTAAAGGCTTTTCCGCACTCGATACAAGTGTAGGGCTTCTCGCCAGTGTGAACTCTATGATGTGAAATCAGACCAGAACTCCGACTAAAGGCTTTCCCACACTCCTTACATTCATAAGTTTTCTCCCCACTGTGGATTCCCTGGTGCCGAATGAGGTGTGACTTACCGCTGAAAGACTTACCACATTCGCTGCACGTGTAGGGCTTCAGTCCAGTGTGGATTCTCTGATGAACAACCAGGTTGGAGCTATGACTGAAGGCTTTTCCACACTCCTTACACTTATAGGGTTTCTCTCCTGTGTGGATTCGTTCATGTACTGTGAGGTTTGCACTCTGACTAAAGGCTTTCCCACACTCAGTACACACATACTGTCTCTTTTCAGCCTGACTTCTCTCATTTATTGTAGGGTCATCTTTTTCAGATTCTTGGTCACTCACTTTGGTGAATGTTTTATTATCGTTAACTGTCTTCTGTTTGAAGTTTCTCGTCTTTCTCCTCATTTTCTCTTGCTTGAAGCATCCCAGTGGCCCCTTGAGTCTTCTCTTTCCCTTCAGAGGAGCTTTCTAAACATTGACTTCCTTGGCAACACCTCTGTGGAGTTCTCTTGAAAGTATGAGATTCAGATTTTTCGGGAATGATGTTTTGGAATCAATACTTCCTCAATCCCCATTTCACCATCTGACAGAAGAAAGAAAAGTTGCACATGTCACCTGCTCTCTATACTAGAGGAAGGAGAATTATCCAAGGATAAAAAGATGTGGCAGAACACGAGGTCCCTCATGGAAAAGTAGGTGTTCAAAGGCAGGGGGACCTGATCAAAAAGATGAGAAAAATGAGGATAGACATAGAAGCCAATGGAAAGGCTTACGGAAAGCCAGGGGCTGACAGGAGCCCAACATGTCCAGCATCAGAATGAACGATAAGTAGCATAAAACCCATCCTGGTTTCTTCCTGTCTCATGCTCTACTCCCAGAATTGGAGCCATCTAACTCCTAATCTGATCCCTAGAAAAAATGCACTGAAAGATCCTTTGTTCAGTAGCTTAAGTGACTAATCTTCAGATCAGTTTGGCATTTAGTTCATGCTGATCTATTCCCCTAGTACTAGTGATATAGTGGCTGGAACAAAATAGGTGCTCAAAAATTGTTTTATAGAACAATAACTCGGATTTTGTCTTAAGGTATGACTAAGATTTCATCTTTTGCTTTGGTCTAGGTACTACATCCCTCTTGTTAAACTTTGTTGTGATAGAGGTAAAACAATTCTTCCAATATTGGAGCATAGTCACATCATAGTCTACTCTGTAGGGGCTGGTCTGTAGCTGGATCCAGCTGTACGTGCTAGTTCAGTTTGTTTGCTTTTCACTAAGCAGTCTATTGGGTGAACCTGAGAGGCTGAACTGGGAAACAGGGTTAATTAAAGCATGGCAGGGGAAACTCTAATAGGACCTTGCATGGTACAGTGGTAAAGTATCTAAAGATGGCAATAGGGTGAGAGCAGTGGGCAGCACAACCAAGAGGGGCCGATACATGAAACCAATGTCAGGGATGAGCAGGAATTTCCCAACTGGTTTGACATAAAACTCTGAACATATAGATATCCCTAGCAGACCTCAATCTAGAGGGGGTTGAGTCATAAAAGAAAACTGAAAGATGACTCCATGATACTAACACATGACTAATTTTCCTTTTACTATGTTCCTTTTCAGACTTGTCCATATTCATAATTATATAGTTGTAAATATACAGTAGATATAATTTTGCATCCTACTTCTTTTACTTAATTTTTATAAGTATTTTTCCATATTGCTATTAACTCTTCATATGATCATTTTCTGACTGCATAATTCACCACCAATTAAACTCCTTACAGTTTACCTACAATTTTGCTAGTGTCAGACATTTCTGTTGTTCCCTGAGGTTTAACCACTATTAATAATGTTATCATGATCACTCTACACATATAAAGTTTTCTTCTCATTGAAATATATTCCTAGGATAAAAGTTCCACAAGTGAGTGATTGGGTCAGAAGGAATGACATTGTTTTGTAGTACTACCTACTGCTTTTCAAAAAGTTTGACCAGTTTTCATTATGCCATAGCTTTCTGATAAACTGAGTCACGATCTCTGAAGGAGGGACATATCCAATGGTGAGTGCTCAAGGCCAGCAAGAAGAGAACTGTGGAGGTTAGAGTTCACATCTCAGAAGGGTGGGTGCCACCGATATGATACACAGGCACATATACACAGACTCATGCCCAAGATATGGAGGGCAGGCAGAGAAAATGGTGGGGGAGGAGGGGTTCTTGGCAGGAGCCTGAGCACACTCACATCCAGCTGCTGTTACCCTCCTAATCAAACAGGAGTTAGCAGGTGGAGGAAACTCAGTGAGAAGCCAGGGGAACTGCAGAGCAGAGTGGAACAGCAAGTGAAGCCACCTCCAGAGTTCTGAGAAAGTTGATGGTTCTTTCTCAGCTTCTTTTCCATTTTTAATCTTCTCTGAAACTTTCTTTTCTTCATACATTTCTTAAACTAGTAATTACTGAACACTCTACCCTGTACGTATCTCTGTTCTGGGTCTCACACAGGGAAATTTTTAAAAAGCATTGTTGCAGAAAAGTGAAACCATTTGTGGTATGAATGAATGGATGGATGACTAGGTGGATAAGTTTATGGATTTGCTGTTATGAAAGGCTCCCATTTTGCTGGCAAATTGTCCTCTGCTAACTTGTGTTATTGTTTAATTCTTCTTCTTTCCACAGTATTACTTATGAAAACTCAGGAAATGACTTTAGAGGAACAGATTCCCATAATTACTAGAACAAACTATGTTAGAGATTCAGAATGAGACAGTGCCCTGAAGCCAGCCCCCAGATGTCTCATTTCTAGGCATAGCTGATCCAATGCTACCCAGTTAGCTAGTGCAGTAACTATTATATCCTTAAAGGCTGTTATGGAAAGATCAGTCTTGGAGCCTTCCGAAAAGAGGTGTTCAGGAAAAACATTAATAACCAGGTATTTACATGACTCCGTCTTTCACAAGCAATAAATACCATTATTGAATGCAAAAAAAAAAGTTCTGTTACACACTGTGTCCCTCCAAAATTCATATGTTGAACCCCAAGCCCCCAATGTGACTATATTTGGAGATGTGAGGTCTAAGCCGGTAATTAAGGCTAAATGAGGTTATAAGGGTGGGCCCTGACCCAATAGGATTAGTGTGTCCATATAGGAAGACATACCAGAGAGTTAGCTTTCAACTTGCACTCCTGCCCCCTTCCCACCACATACACAAACCAAGGAAAGCCATGTGAGCACACACCAAGAAGGTGGCTATCTACAAGCCAGGAATAGAGTCCTCACCAGAAACTGAATCAGCCAGGCACCCTGATCTTGGACTTCTAGTCTCCATAACTGTGAGAAAATAAATGTCTGTTGTTTAAGCCACCCAGTCTGTGGAATTTTGTTATGGAGGCCCAAGAAGACTAATATAAACATGAAATATCATATCTACTTTTAAGGAACTTACAATGGAGTGATGACAATACACTGAGAAAGTAAATTACAAATTTACAAAGTACCCAATCAGGGGATGAAGGGCTAGGAGAGGGAGTGAGTACTGGGGCTTGAGATGCTTGTGGAAAGGTGCTTCAAAAAGGCAGAACTTTGGCTGAACCTGAGGATAAGCAAGAACTGTTTTCTCAAAAGGATGTTAGCACAAGGGTTGATGTACTCAGAAATAAGTGGGAGGTTACACTATCACATAGCTTTATTAGGGCAGGGATTTTTGTCCATTTTGTTCATTACTGTATTCCTAGCAAAGTTCCAGGCACATACCAAGCACTCAAAAAAAAATTTTTTTGTTGTTTCATGAACAAATGAGGAAATGAAACAATCGAATTGCGTGAAGTGATACCAGCCAGAACACTGAAATCACGGGGCAAAAAATATGGATATAATCTGCTGGTCAACAGGAAACAAGTTCTAAATGGAAGAGTGAAATCTACCCTTAATTTCCTCTCTGTTTTCTATATTCTTTTTTTGTTTTATTTGGCTGCACCACGGCACAGCTTGCAGGATCCTAGTTCCCTGATCAGGGATCTTACCTGTGCCCCCTGCGGTGGAAGCTTGGAGCCCTAACCACTGGATCACGAGGGAATTCCCTCTATTTTCCATATTCTTTTTTCTACCTTGCTATTCTCTTTTCTTGTTACTTTCCTTCTCATTCTCACTTGTCAAGAACAAAGTTTTTCAAGCATTACCATTCATTTCCCCTAGTCCCAGACTTCCCTCCACCCCCAGCACATTCATGTTTCTCTGGGCTTCATGAAGTGGAAAACAGGAAAGAGGCAGCTGGGGTATCCCATGAGGAGTAAACTGAGGAAAATAAAAAGAAAGAATCCAAGAGCTGTCACCTAGGAGTAGGGTGATCATATACCCTGGTTTTCCCGGAATAGTCCTGGTTTATACCTGCTATTCCAGCATCATTATTCTTTATTTTTTTATTAAAATTTTTTTTTCCAGCATCATTATTAATAGTGCCCCCCTTAATTCACAAAAGCATCCAGTTTGGATAATAAATTTTGTATCACCCTACCCAAAAGTGAAATTAGGAAAAGAATGCTTTCGGAAGATTAGCCCAGATGGATTAGAGTTGAAAAAAAGAATGGAGCAAGGGAAATGAGTTGGGAGAGAAGTTTAGGAATGCAGTATGGGTGACCATTAGAGGGCCTGCGACTTTCTAGGTGCTGAATAAATGTTTGCTGAATGAATAAATAAATGTATGAGATAGTGAGACCCTAGTCCAGAATAACAACAGGATAGAAAACAAGTCCAGCTATTTCCAGGAAAGCATATGCATATATCAGACTGGATATAGAGGGTGACTAAAGGAAAGAATTCTAGGCCATCAGATCCAGGTCTAAATATTGAGAATGATACTATCACTAAGAAAGATGGGGATGTGGGAAAACACTTTAGACAAGAGGAGGAAGAATATGTCAGGAATACTAATTTGAGAATAAGACATAGGGGACAGATGAAGCCATGAAAATGTATAAGCTTGCTGAAATAGAGATTTTGGTTAAAGGGCAAGCAGAGAGAAAGAGAAATGCACAAGGACGTGCTGTAAGCATGCTCAGGGTGGTTCTGCGGGACCTGAGGAGGAAGCAAGACTTGTCAGGAGAGCAGGGAGGGATAGTTTGAAAAGGGTTTGATCAAAGGAAATCTAACTATTTGCCCTCTGCCCAAATGGATGGGAAATTCCCTCAGAAATTCTGGAAGAATTCCCACGCAGTAGGGAGGTGGGGTCTTAGCTAACGTAGTAGTAGGAGGGACAGATGAGGCCATAAGGATAGCAAGTCACTAGGGGTATCCAGGCAACTGGGCACAAAATTACAATCTCAGACAACCAGTAAATGGAAGAGGACCAACGAGGCCCCACAGGTCTCTGACCCACAAATCCCTGAGACTGATGGATGAGTGTCCTGATCTCAGGAGCACCATTCATTTCAGGCCGTGAGGAACCCACAAAGGGCAGAGTTCTATTCTGAGAGAGAGAGAGACGGAGGTTTTACCTAGCGACGTTGTATTCCTTTAATTCACCAGCATCACCAGCCTTTCAGGTCCCTCTGGGCAGTGGTCACATGGTCTTTGGTTACTGTTTAGCTGCAGTGGAGTGATGAATAAGAGGCAATACCTGAAAATAAATTCCAGAGAAACAGATGAGTGAAGTGTAAAAATTTAAAGGAAAAAAAAAAGAACTATTAGAAATTATCTTGATCTCAGGGAAAGGCCTAGGCCTTAAGCATAAAACAAAAGCTGACACCATAACAGAAAAGCTGACAGATTTGACCATGTAAAAATTTCTTCACTTAAAAAAAAAAACATTAAAAATCTGTAATATAAAATAGAGTTGCCTTATACCATAATTCCTTCTGTGTATGTCTGTGTCCCTCCTCACATGTATACTTTAAGCTCTAAGCCCCCAGAGAACGGGGCCCATGATATTCATATGTGGATCCCACACAGTGCCTGGCACATAGGGCTCAATAAATGTTTGATTTGAAACGTTAAGTAAGTTCAGGATTCTATCTAATTCTATCTGGGTATAGGGATGGTGAGAAGTGCACCCTCCGCACATGACCACCCTCATCCCTCCTCTCCACCTGTTTATCTCTTTGGTGCTTCATATTGTCGAAACACCATGACAATACTGACATTCTTGGCAGTTCTGTCTCAACAGGGCCATCCAAGGGCTTAAATTCCCTAAGAGGCTGACCTAGTCTAACTGCTCAGAGATTCTCAGAATGTCAGAGTTGGAAAGAAACTCCTAGACCACCTCGTCTCATATTAAAATTTTGAGCTGGGGAAACTGGAAATTAGAGGAGAGCTGGGACTCAAGCCAAAGTCTTCTGACACCCAAAATTGAGTTCCACTATATCACCCTTCCTCACCAAAACTCTACTCCTCAGGGTCCAGAGGTCCTCCTCCCACTTCTCTGTTTCTCTCGAGAAATGCTCCCTTTCAGACCTGGTTCCCATACTCTAGCAGGCAGGATTCCCGTCCCCAGACTAACTAATTTCACAATAAAGATCTCACCTGCCAAAGAGAAGGGAATGGCTCACTTTCACACCTGTGCACAGTAGCCTCACTCCAAAGGATCTGCCCAGCACAGATCTTGCCTCATCTCTTCCTTCGGTTTGGTGAAAAAGTTCCTAGTGGGGTCTTGGATCACTGTAAACACACAGAAACGACTTGAGTTCTCTGAGAGCTCAACTGCAAGTGGACACTCAGGGCAATGTCCCATCCCTGGGTCACTTCCCTTCCTATTGAACTGAGAGCAATAAGGATAATCATTCCCATTTTAAAGATGAGGAAATGAAGCTCCCAGAGATGGAATGACTTGCTGGAAGGTCGTATGGGTAGTAAGAGATAAGCCTTCTGCGTCGGAAGGAAATTCTCATTCCATCACACCACGGTCGCTCCTTTTCACCTGTTCTGTTGATATCTAAGTCTCCACATTCTCCTCTAACTGAAAAATGCATTCCAAGTGAGTTCTCTGTAATCCAGCTTTCCAACAAAAGTTTGCAGAAAAGGGATGAGGGAAACTCTGCTGAGTCAAATGTCTTTAAAGACAGGAAGAAATAAGGCTTTACAGGGATGCTAGAAGGAGAACTTTTTTATGATTACCCATCTCTCAGGATCACTAGGCCTCAAAATCGGTTTTGTGTTTCCCCCTTCAGATTCCCAGACCCCGCGTCTAACCCTTCAAGCTTGTTCCATTTCTTCCCTACCAGAATATAGCTCTGCCTTGTACACAACTGTAATCCCTGGATCTAATACACTGCAAGTTGGTGCTAAGTATTTGTTGAATGAATGAATGAGTAACCTTCGGCAAGGCTCTGCCCTCCTCTCTGGGTCTGCTTCCTCACTGAGAACACAGCAGGGATTGGATTAGTTAGCTGAGCCAAATACTTAGGTGTTGCGGAGCCCTATGAGAGCCTGGGCGGGACGTGGACCGCTTTTACCAGGGAGGCCCCATGGCTAGCAACGAGGATGATACAGTTCTGTCACCACTGTCAGCTGGTCCGAGTGAGCAGCTACGCGGAGCAGGAGACGAGACCCAAGACAAAGGGGCAGCGCAGAAGGGGAGCGGGGCCCACGACGACCCCTTCACCTGCCCGCCCCCGTCTCCGCAGCGGGCAGCGGTGAAAGTGGCCTGGCCCCCGGCCTATGTGCCCCACCCGCTCCCAGAACCGGCCCGAAGCCCCACACCAAACTGCCACATACCCCGCACGGAAAGCGCCCGACCCACATCTTGGAACAATGCGGAGAAGGAACTACGTCACCGACTCCCCACTAACTCCCACCCTAACCCTCCGGTCCTTCTAGGCATTGGGAGGTTTCTGCATCTCTGTGCCCCCTTCGCGAGCCTGCAGGTCAGGGGACGCTCTGGCCCCGCCTCCCGCCCAGTTTTACCCGACCATTGGCTGAGAGGGCGAAAGGGCGTGGAGAGTTCAGCCAATAGGCGGAGAGACCCTGGACGGGGTGGAGCCTGGGGAAAGGACTTGGTTAGGGCGGGAAGAGGGACCAATCAACTGGGCGGCCAGACTACGTTCCTCGAACTGAAACTCTCTGAAGTCACAACCCCAGCTCTGGATGCTGAGCGGAAAAGTCATCCTTTTCACACATCCTTCTCCTTTCAGCCTCAAAGTCAGGATCAGCTACCATTTATCGGCAGTATATAAAAATACGTGTCGAGTGCCTATTATGTCATTGTTCTAGGCTCTGTGGATACAGTAGTGAAGACAATGAACTTAATGCCCCATGAAGCTTACCTTCATGTCAGGGAGACAATGGATAAATAAATACCTAGAATGTAGTAGCACCTAAGGGGAGAGAGAGAGGGAGAGACGAAGAGAGGGAGGTAGAGAGAGAGAGAGAAGGGGGTAGGTGGTGGTGGGGCTATTTTATAGATGACAGGGAAGGCAGAGACAGGAAGTGAGCAATTTAGGCATGTGGGTAGCTGGTGGAGTATTCCTGATAGATGGAACATCAGGAAGCAAAGGCCTTAAACCAGAAGGAAGGGGGTGCACCTTTTGGTCCATGAGGGATTTGGATATGTCCCAAATAACACTGGAGGGTTTTGGGACTGAGAAGTGACATGATCTTACCTTTTTTTTTTTTTTCCCCTGCCACATGTTCAAAAGTTTATTAGCTATCAGATATGAATGGAGCCAAGAAACCTGTTTTTCTATAAATTCTAATTTCTTGCTTTCAGTCCTTAGTCTTTTTTTTTTTTTTTTTTTTTCCCGGTACGCGGGCCTGTCACTGTTGTGGCCTCTCCCGTTGCGGAGCACAGGCTCCAGACGCGCAGGCTCAGCGGCCATGGCTCACGGGCCCAGCTGCTCCGTGGCATGTGGGATCCTCCCAGACCGGGGCACGAACCCGTGTCCCCTGCATCAGCAGGCGGACTCTCAACCACTGCCTCCACCAGGGAAGCCCAGTCCTTAGTCATTTTGACATAAACCTTGCATAAAAGTTTCACTCCATGACATAACGTTTTAAAAATTTGCTCTGGCTGCTCTGCTGAGAACAGTCTGAAGGTGGGCAAGAGTAGAGGTAGAGAGATTAAGAAGCTACTGCACTATTCCAGATGAGAAATGATGGTGGCTTGGACGAGCTTAGAGGTGATTTAGGTGACGAGAAATGGTCTACATATATTTTGAAGGCATGTCCAGCATGATTTGCTAATGAATTGGATGTTGATTAAGGATGACTCCATGGTTATTGATCTGAGCAACTAAAATAAGACTGTCTTTTGGAAATAGAGTAGACTGAAAGAGGAACAGGTTTAGGGAGAGGGATCAATAGTTTTGTTATGGATGTGTTAAGTTAAAGATGCTAATTAGACATCCAAGAGTAAATGTCAAACAGCCAATTGGGATAGGAGTCAGGAGTTCAGTGAAGAAATCACAACTAGAGATGTAAATTTAGGTGTCGCTATATAGGGCAGGATGGGACAATCTAGGGAGTGACTGTAGGTAAAGAAGTCATCTGAGCAATGAGCTTTGAAGCTCATTAATCAATAGATGAGTATTGAATACTTAAAGCATACCAGGAGCATTCTTATCCATTAATTCTTATAGGTGGCACAACATTTTCTAAAGAAGATTGATGCACAGAGATTCAGAGAAATGATAAGACTTGCACAAGTTCATACCCCCAGTTGATGCTGGAAGTAGAACTCAGGAGCACAACACTATTGCCACTACATCAGGAAACACTTAAGAAGAATATTCATGTACATTATGACAATAATGATCAACTTGGTCTTGCTTTTCACCTATTCTTTTATTTGGGGGAGGAGTTATTAATTCTGATTAAAACTCTTAACTCCACCTCTGGTCCCAGGGGGTAACAATATTTCATTAATATTCCAGCCCCAGCTGGTCTCTAATTTTAGAGAGCATAATGAGGACACATGTTAAAATACAAATTCCAGGCCACCTTATCCAACTTGTTGCCTTTATCCACAAGGATATTTTTTTTTTTCTGACAAAACCTATTCATTCAGTCCAGAATGATGTCACTGTTCAGAATCAGAGTATTTGTGGGGTTCATAATTGCCTAAATATTCAGCAATTTCAATCTTTATCATGACATCTGTCAACCAAAGAAATTACAACTCATTTTTTGGTAAATGAAATCAATATCCAGTTATTCAGGTCTTACTTTATTGGTCAAAATGGTGATAACACAATGCTTCCCTCTGGTAATTCAGTCTCTTTGAGGATATGACTCTCTGGCTTTAAGAAAACATCAGAGGGGAGTTTCCTGGTGGCGCACTGGTTAAGAATCTGTCTGCCAATGCAGGGGACACAGGTTCGAGCCCTGGTCCAGGAAGATCCCACATGCTGCAGAGCAACTAAGCCCATGTGCTACAACTACTGAGCCTGCGCTCTAGAGCCCGTGAGCCACAACTACTAAGTGTGCGTGCCACAACTACTGAAGCCCGTGCACCTAGAACCCATGCTCTGCAGCAAGAGAAGCCACCACAATGAGAAACTTGCGTACTGCAATGAAGAGTAGCCCCTGCTCGCTGCAACTAGAGGAAGCCTGTGCACAGCAACGAAGACCCAACGCAGCCATAAATAAATAAATAATAAATTCACTTTAAAAAAAAAAAAAAAGGAAGAAAAAGCAGGGACTTCCCTGGTGGTCCAGCGGTTAAGAATCTGCCTTCCAATGCAGGTGACTCTGGTTCAATCCCTGGTCAGGGAACCAAGATCCCGCTTGCTGTGGGGCACCTTAGCCAGTGTGCCGCAACTGCTGAGCTCGCAGGCCACAACTAGAGAGAAGCCCGTGCACCACAGCAGAGGATCCCACATGCCATTAGGAAGATCCCACGTGTGGCAACCAAGACCTGATGCAGCCAAAAATAAAACAAATAAATAAATAAATGTCTTTTAAAAAAGATCAAAGGATACTTCGAAAGTATAAAAGTGAATGGGGGCTTCCCTGGTGGTGCAGTGGTTAAGAGTCCGCCTGCTGATGCAGGGGACATGGGTTTGTGCCCCGGTCTGGGATGATCCCACATGCCGTGGAGTGGCTAGGCCTGTGAGCCATGGCCACTGAGCCTGCGCATCCGGAGCCTGTGCTCCGCAAAGGGAGAGGGCACAACAGTGAGAGGCCCACGTACCGCAAAAAAAAAAAAAAAGTGAATGGGACATTACTGCCATACACACACACACACACACACACACACACACACACACACACACAAGAATTTCATGGGCATTAAATAATTTAAGCCTCAGAGTAATTTTATGGCTTAATGCTGTCCTTATTTTTATTTCAGTTTTTTTGGCCACGCCACGCAGCTTGTGGGATCTTGGTTCCCTGACTGGGGATTGAACCTGGGCCCTCAGCAGTGAGAGTGTGGAGTCCTAACCACTGGACCGCCAGGGAATTCCAATGCTATCCTTATTTTTAGATAAGGAAACTAAAGCCTGGATACGTCAAATGATTTGCTTATGGTTGCACAGCTAGTAGTGGACAATTTGAAACTTGGACTGGGTTTTCTGACTGTAGATCCTGTGTTCTTTTGTCTACTGCCACACTTCCTCAAACTATAGATTGCATTTCTTCTAAAAGGTGTTGAGTTATAACAAGCCGCCCATAATCCCTTTTTACCTTTTTCAAACTTTATTTTGAAACTTTCAAACATGCATATACCCTCTAGGTAGATTCAACAACTTATTTTTCCATATTCGCTTTTTCTCTCCACACACACATACACATTTTATTTGTTGTTATTGTTAGCCATTTGAAAATATGTTGAAGAGATCATGAGCCTCCAACCCTAAGCACTGCAGCATGCATCTCCTACGAATAAGGACATTCTTCTACAGAAGCAAAATATAACTGTCAGATTTAAGAAATCTAAACAATTGTATATTATCATCAAATGGGCCTACTATTAAATATTACATCCATTCCATATTTAGTGTCTCCATTGAACCCCAAATATCTGCTACAGCTTTTTAAAAATATTCAAAATTCACTCACTGCATTCGGTGGTTGTGTTTCTGAAGAGTCTCTCTTAATCTAGAACAGTTGGCCAACTTTTTTCATTTCACTGACTTTTCATAGAGTCTAGGTCAATTGTCTTACATAGTGTCTCACATTGTACAAATCAAAAATCAGTGAATCTGACTTATTTTCTCATCATATCCCCCTATATTTCCTGTAAATTGGAAGGTAGGAAAAGAGGTCTGATTAGATTCAAGTTATATCTTTGCTTCACTGGTGGTGTTAGAACTTATGCATTACATGCCATCCTTAATTTCTTTTTCTTTTTCTTCTTGTTTTGTATTTTGTGTACATTAAAATTTCTCCATAATAAAAAGTAAAAACAAAACATTAAGGCTGGCAGAGGGGGGAATTAGGGGGAGGGATAGGTAAAAGGTAGGAAATCTCTTTTTGAGGTGATGAAAATGTTCTAAAACTGCCTGTGGGGATGGTTGTACATGCGTGTGAATATACCAAAAATCATTGAACTGTACATTTTACAAGGATGAAGTATATGGTATGTGAATTATATTTCAATAAAAACGTTAAAAACAAAAGTCAGGAACTCACCTCAGAGAACCATTCGTGCGCCTGCCATAGTGCTGAAATGTCCAGGTTTCAACAGAGAGTAAAATACAGATTGAGGAGCCATTTGGAAGACAACCCAGGAGGCAGTGGCCACAGTGTTCAACCTAGGGGGAAATGTGTTCACTTAAGAATAAGGCCTGGGCTTCCCTGGTGGC